GGATGGCATGAGATGAAGAAGATATGATAATAGTGGTGTGAGGCCTACATCATTTAGAGCGGATGTTCCACATTATTCAGTGCTCTCTAACACAGGACAATTTGCTGTTCATTATGTTTTTTGGGTAATTCTATCCTAACTGCCATGTGGCACTTCTGACTTAGGACATCAAATACATTCCAACCCAGTTTAGAAACAATCAATATTCAACAACAGCAGACGCTAGACAATGCTCTAGAATTCTGTATAGAGCAATATGAAGTACGTAGTATATCTGAAAAAAATCTCACTTGAGACTTACAGCCTGATACATTAGTTTGTATGCATCTTGAGAGACAGGGTCAGGTCTTTAAAAGATATGTAACAAATTCAGCTAATTATTCTAATTTTTGCTGCTAGTTATGGAAACATTTTCATTTTTGTAATCTATGCCAGATAAACAGTCTCACAGCATGCACAGAAACAACTCTAGATCTCCACTTCATGAATATTATTTAAAGCCCCCTTGCACTCTCCAAAGATTTAATCATTTCAAAAATCATTTTTGATCTTTTCTCTCCTCTGGGGTTCTTAAGAAATATACATAAACATTAAAAGCAAACAAACTTGTCAAGAATTTACCACTTATATCTGGGGATCAATCTAAATTAAAAAGGGAATGCAGCAAATGATCTAATTCTTAGGTATTGGACCTGAATTCCTAAACATTCCTGCTAGTCACACCTGGTTCAGAATCCTATTATTCAGTTTTATTTAACCCTCATTACTTTACATTTTTATTGAATACAATTTCTGATTATTCAATTTTCAGGTGGTCTTCTCATTACCTGTACAAAGAATAACTACATTACCCACAGTACTTAAATAACTATATTATAACCCTATTCTTAACCCTATTTCTTTATATAAAAGAAATGCAAACCTACAAGTCTACAAGACTTGAATTAAACAAAAAAAACAAACAATAAAGGCTCCTAAAAATATCTAACAAGTACAAGTTCATCAAAATTAAAACTGACTAATCTAGCGATCAAAGGTATGTGCAGTTTTAAAAATATGATGCACAAATGAGGAAGTTTGGAAAGGAGCCTCTATGGGTCATTTCAAACGCGTATTGCTTGACAATCACGATATTGTCCAACTGATTGCCACCAAATCTGGGGCAAAAAAAGTGAAGGAGTTCGGTGCGGGTCTGCAGCTGTGACTTACTTGCATGTCTGGCAGACCTTGCACTCGGGACACTGCCAGCCTGCTCTCTTCAAGGGGGTCACCACAATGTCCAGACACATCCCGTGGTAATGCTGCCCGCAGCTGGTGCAGAAAAGCTGGTCCTGGAGATCTCCGGGGCTGTCGCACACCGCGCAGTTCACTTCGTCCTTGGCTGTGAGGGAAGAGGTCGAGAATCTTCGTGAAGAGGGGCAGGACGGCCACCTTGTGCACGAGACATTGCTGAGAGAACTGCAGTGCAGAACAGTGAATTCCCCTCAGGCTTCCCCCAACCTCCAATTCTGCTAAAAAAAGCTACTAAACCTTCATTCACCCAGGAGCTGCTCCCTTGTATAAAAGGAGAAAGTTAACATTTGTTGAGTGCAATAATTTATGTGACCGAAATTTGTTGCCCCAAGACAGAAAAATCAAGTCTGGGGGATTTGTTTTTCTTCAAGACAAGTAGTTGAAGTAAAGGGCTCTTCAAATCCATATTAGTACGCTAGTATGTTTAAAAATAATGGGAGTGAAAGAGCCTGGGCATCTCAAGGTGAAACAATTTTATAGAAGCATAAAAAGCAAAATCAAATATTTAGCAGTCATGTACAACTCCAACTTTTTTTTAGCTGATACAAGCCTTGATATCTAATTACACTCTCAAATCCTATCCTCTGTGGGGTGGGGGGGAGATAAGAACTATAGGTATTCTTCACCAGAAATACTTCCTCACAATGTTAATGTCCACACTTAACATTATATAATCACTTTATATTGCTCCTGTAACTCATTCACTGAATGATGGCTCAGAAATAAGCAAGTGCTTTGAGGGCAAAATTATCATTAAACGTATTGCATCCTAATGGACTGAAGAGTCTGGTGCAGCACACTAATGTCATCTGCTGCTGGATTTTTTTTCATTCAATTAATCCCTAAAGAAGGCCTACAACACAGGCTGCATTAAAGAAAAAAAAAAGGTGATCTCTGTAATGCAACCAGAGATGGTGTGTGAATTTGTCTGCGTTACACGACTACAGGAAGAACGTGGTGACAAAAGCAGTCTGCTTGATCACGTCAAGCCAGCACGCTGCTATTCCACCAGTGCTTTTCGCATATAACGCCTCTCTTTATTCACAGCTGCAATACGAAAGGAAAGCAGTCAGGATTAAAGCAGTCGAAGCTCACATTCGCTGCCCTCCCCACTGGATCCACGTATAGTTCCATTTAAGAGCTACATGACTGCAACCTGCACTTTCTGAGCAAAGAGGCATGCAAGCAAAGCAAAAACACAAGACACTTTCTGCCTTAAAGACAGACATTAAGCTTCTTTCTATTGTGCTGATATCTGAATAGACTCTTTTTGAAGACTTTTGGGTCACAATGTGGTGGGGTCTGCAAAAGACAGGAGGTCCGATGATGAACTTTTTACTTCAATGCATTTTCCTGTTCTTGCAGTTTCAGCTCAAAGTACAGGTGAAAGAAAAGGATCCCAGAATTCCCATACCTGCCAGAATCGGAAAAGCTCCCAATCCTACTGAGGAGAGGGGGAAGGGAACCCAGTTGAACTGGCAGCCCAGTACATGTTCTCCTGCCATAGCCTGAGGAACAGTGAACCCCTCTCTCAATAATAGTGGAGTCCCCATTACCTGTAAAGCGCTTTGAGTGGAATGTCCAGAAAAGCGCTATATAAGTGTAAGCAATTCTTCTTATTATTATTATTAATGTTCTATATGTTGTCTGTTGTATGTAAATTTCTTATGATGTGTTTGTATCAAATGTCTGTAAATGTTATTGATTGCATATGCTTCGGCAACCCTAATTCATCGGTCATGCCAATGAAGATGTTTGAATTGAAAACTTAGCTGAAAAGACTTACATCTTTCTATGGCCAGTTCGATGTGTTCTGGGCAGAGGAGAGTGCAGCTTCTGATGTCCTGAAAAGTTCCTGCAGCAGCAGCACAGGGGTAATGGTACGAGTGCCGACACATCTCTTCACAGCACTTGATGGATGCTCCAAGGCGCTTACAGTATGCACAGTACTGGTGGGAGAAAAGGGGGGAAGGAACAGAGGTTAAGGACTGTTCTCGGGACTCGCACTGCATTTATTCAATTCACTGAAATCTGTCATGGGACTGTGAAGAAAAATGCAGACGAAAAGGTAATCTATCCATCCTACATGTGTGAAAAAAATATGAAGGATGCAAAAGTACAACACTGGCAAAATGCCACAATCTTTGGGAATTTAGAGGCAAACCATTTTTTTCCCTGATAAAGGTGCATTCACAGGAATAAAGTTTGATTTGCAGATGTATCTATTATTCATATGTGCTTGTCATCAGTTGTGTATCTGTCCCTGTTTTGTTTCACTTGTGAGAAGGATGTCTCTGTGTGTATAGAGGCAGGTATTTTTAGGACTGTGGGGACAACATTGATGAAATCACCCCCCACAAAGATAGTAGTAGTTCATGAAAAACAGACGGAGGGAGTAAATTGCTTCAACATTTAACTATTCTTAAATTGAAATGTGCCAAAAACGTTTTAATGGCCTACTTTCACCTTATGTGGCATTTCATTTCAGTGGAATTGTGAATATCAAAATAGTAAATAAAATCAATCCATTTCAAGAAGACCACACAATAACAGGCATGTGAAATAAAGTGCCTTGTGTTAAATTAAAACCTCCATAGTTAGTACATCTCGACTAAGTAGAGGTAAAAGCATCTTCTTCAAACACTTTCTGATTAAAGGGAAAGTAAGAAGCAACAAGCTTCATGAGCTACAGAAACAACTAGAGGAGTCAACACTGACTCCTTACCGCATACAGTAAGGTGGTTGTCAATTCGAAATGCAGTGCCAGTTGTAAGCAGATCATTAGAAGCCCTGAGAGATGTGCTAGAACACATGGCTGCTTCCAGCACTCAGGACTGGTAAAGCCAAAGGTCTTTTTATTGCTGGCAGACAATTCAACTTTGTGCGCTTCTGTCACTTGTAGAACGATGTACTGGTGCATGGAGTCCTCCTCTCAAAGCATTTTCAAAAGGAAGATGGACTTCTCCATAGTCCAACCTATGCTTCAGTACACTAAAGAGGCACGGAGAGAGTTTAGCCCATCCTGGTCCTTCAGAGCAGGACCTTTTCAGCTCCTTTGAAGGTAACAACTTTAAAGGAGACAAACTGATTATCATACACAAAAGCCTATCTTTGACCAAATGAAAAGCAGACATGTGGGATGCTTTTGATGAGGAAGGGAAAAAAAATCACCCTTCTCCTAAGTTTTGTTCTTGTACCTTCAATGGAGAGGAGGTTGGTAATGAAAGACAGATTGACAAGGTAGGACAGTATTTCCAATGAACCTATGAAGCTTGTGTTGTGTATTAATTATTTAATTATTTCAATACACTAGTTTCATGAGTCTACTATTATTCCACCCCAAGATGCTGAAACCCCCCCATGAGCTTCATGTAAAGGGAGAATTCCCTCATTTTCAAAACTGAATTTCAAGCCCTGTGTAGTATGTATTTGATGATCACAAGTAGGAAGTCTGGAACAAGAAAATTATGTTTAAAGCAGACACTACTGGCACTGCACTGTGTGAGAACATGAGCAAAAACCACTCTATTCTCACTATTAGCAAGGTACTGCCAATATTTAAAGAGAACCTTCATTTTCCAACCTTCCAATGCATTTTTACTGATGCAACTTAATTTGCAGAATCCCAAAATGTTTATCCCAAACAAAATACATTTCTGCTAAAAGAGGCATGTTAGCCTATTATGGTATTGCAGTGCAGAGGGTAAATTCACAGATGTGAAATTGAGTTGTAGTATTAGCATTATATCTAGTATTATTTTCCAAACATTTCAAATAAACAGGATAACAATGGTTACGTTTAATAGGATGATCTATTTTCCTTTCACAACTTGAAAACAAGCAAATTGCCATATTAAAGGCATATGTGTATATATTAAAATGAACTTTACTTCTTATGCTTGATAAGAGCATGGGACTTTTTCTAAAACCTAACACTAAAGGGTAGCTTTAATGTTGTTAATAAAATAAATGATGAAGCCACAAAGAAAAAAGCCTAAGAACCCCATAAAAATGTTAAAAGACACTGCACATTTTAAGCTGTTTAAAGCTGTTCTGAAATGTCTAGAGTGTGCTTTCAAGAGGCAGCATTATTACATGAGTCATAGTCTTTCAAACAGCAGGTCTTAAAGACAGGAAAATGTCAATATGGAGTTAAATGCACAAACGTGGAGAATTCTGCATTGTGGAGAAAATATTTCCCAAGAAATATTCCTGAAATTAGGACAGACTCTTAAATTGTTGCTCTCATTTTACCATCAATATTTTTAAAACTTAAAGAAACTGAAAATCTGTATTTCAGTGTACTTTCCACGTGCGCTCAGTTTCATACACAGTAAAGACCACGTTATCATGGTGTCACCATGTGTGAAAGATACAGCCTACATTATATCACTGTAATTGCTCATTTTAAAATGAGGAAAAAATAGCTCTCATTTGCAGCTCTTGGGGCCTGGGGTACCTAGTGTCTTATTCTCTTCTTTGAAGGCTATAATTCCATATATCACTGGTTCAACAATAACCCAATATACATAGGAGTTGTTAGATTTCTAGTTATAGTCTCTTAACCAACATTATATGCTTGTATTTGCACCTGCTAATATATATATACACACACTATGCATTATATGTGCATCATCCATATATATGCATCAAGTAAACTAGTTTTTCTCCTCAGTCAAGTATAGTTAAACTTGGATAACAGACTCAAGATTTACACCTCTGGAGAAGGACAGTGCAAATGAGTGTCTTCACAAGAGTCTAGGAGTCTAGGATTCTCACATGATACCATTCCAGGAGGACATGACACACCCTCATGTGGCTCACGAAGCATCGATTTTCTTGTGAGAAGAATATGACAGTAACGTCACAGATGCCCAATCAGCATGATGGATTTCCTATGCCAGATCTGCTTAATGAAATGTTTATACACCTGCTACTAATAGGTGGTCACTTTCCTGAAAACCATGAATTTGTAAGTGATATTTCTTTTGATGCTACGTGTGTGTATATATATACACACACACATACACACACATATTAGCACATGGAATTCCAACAAAAAAATAGACATGAAGTCTATCGTATCTATCCCTATACGAGTCCACTGTAAAATTCTCATTGATCCTTGGCAATATAAAAGAGAGCACCAATACAAAAGATGCAGAGGAGTGCTTGCCTTAAATAATAAATTTGAGAATGTTCCCCAAGCCTAACTTTTTGAAAAAGAAACCATGTAGAATGTTTGTACCAGCAGGTTTTAAACACGAAATGAAAACCCTCAGGCCTTTACTTATTTCCCAGCGGCTATTAGATTTCCATCTTGCCAGTAGAAATAGAGCATCGGGAAATACAGCATCAAATAAAGCTGTCACTTAATTGTTTGGCTGTCCCAAAACAGCCAGATTAAAAAAAACTACTCAATATTCTTCTAAGCAGGAAATTTCAATAAATCGATAGAGGGGTCAGGACAAATGGCAGGAACAGAAGTCAAATGGAACCAGTCTTCCTTAAGGTACAATGAAGCAGCTTTAACAGCTTGCCTCCAAGTTCATTTGTGACTGAGCGTTGCCTGCAGCACAGGACACAGTTTGTCAGAGAATTTCCAATAGCTCTGCTGAAATCAACACAGCTCCTTCTCTCACCCCACCCCATCCCCCAACACCTTACTTGCAGATCAAATAAAGAAAATACACCCCCGAGTAAAACCAGAGTCACTGAAAAGACCAGCGGTACAAACAACCCAGCAACAGAAAGCATTACAAAATAAGCTTGGCACTTTGCTCAAAAAAAGTGAACGAATGAACCGACAATTTAGCAGATTACTGGTGCAAATGCAATTAAGAGTACATGATCAGGGCACAGTGCAGCCTGCGCTAAGCTGCCAGTCGAACCTCCCTCCTGAGTGCTGTGACCTTTCCATTTCACAGATGAGTGAGCAGAGCTGCCAGGGCCGACCTTTACCAGGGGCCTTATCCATCACGCCGCTCGAAATCTTATGGGGAGGAAACTATTTTAAGATACCCAAGGAGCAATCAAATGTGACTGATGCACCTTTCCACAGTAATCTTCCAGAGCTCCTAATACAACGACTTTTGCCTCTCTCTCTCTTTCCAAGTTAAAGAAAAACATATTCGTTTCTGTGCAAAAGAGTCACCATTGGAGAAATGTGCATGGAGTTATACTTAACAGCATGCTTAAGTTGATTAAGTTAATAGTGAATGAAATATCATGGCTCAGCTCAGATTCCCCATATACCACAGTACTCTGTGCCCAAACGTTGTTGAAAAGCAATGGGGTGACTACAGTAAGGATCTTTAATCACTTAAGGTAAAAGCCTTTTCTAACTGAGGTGGAAATAAAGATAGGCAAAAACTAATTTGAAATCGTCCCCAGATACAAACAATATCATGTGACTTGCACATGTGCACAATTTAGATCAGGTACAGTAGATCACAGTTGAAGTCCAGCTGCTTTCATAGGTGTTTTAAATGGTCAGAAAAGACACCAGGAAGTTAACTGAGTCACTCAGGGCTTAGCAAGAACAGGACAAACTGTGATTCTCCAGGATAGGAGGTCCCTGGCCTAGTTACAAACCTTTTGAAGTGGATTCAACTTTTATATGAAGATGGGGTTTGAAGAGAATCCAGAAGGCACATATTGATCAGGATCCAGAGGTACTCCATTGCATTTTATGGCACCTTTGTAGAACTGCTAGCACACTGCTTTCAGGGGTAGCCCACACTAAAGCAAAGTGTCAAGACCCATCTCTGCTTAGAGTGCCTCAACACTGGTGAATGGCCCAACAAACCAGTCACATATTCTAGTCTTTTGTTTACATCTGTACTTTTATTTGTAGGAAAGTAGTGCTAATAGTAAATTAGCACCTCCACACCTCCAATTTGAAAAATGACCATCCAGACAACATCAGAGTAACAAAGATTTCAAAAACCATTAAGAAGTCATTAGAAGTCATAAGATGGTGGATTAGACTAGTGAAGGATCAAACTGGAAATGCCAAATGTGTGGAGAGCAAACTGCTAAAACACAAAAGTTATCTTGCACTGAAATTTGATCCATTTAGCATAAATACTCCAGACCATTTCACAAGCTGTACTGGCAAAATAGATGTGCAGTTACATTATGAAAAATAAACACGTTATGTCTACATAAGTGTTAAAATTAAAGTAGACAAGCCAAAAATACACAGCATCTGGTGTTGGCTTGTACACAAAGCCCTGCAACTCAAAACTGCTGTAGAGGCTCAAATAGCTATGTAGCAAGTCTCGTTTTCTCACCTTGGTTAGTGGAAATAACTTTTTTAACAGGTATAAGGGACCCCAACCTCCACAAAACAGATCAAAATCAGATGCACTTATACTGCAGCCTGATACCAGATGGTAATATTCATTGATAAAATAGGCAACAGCTTTATTAAAAACAAAATTGGCAGAACCTGTTTCCAGAACTCAATCTTCAGATTCAAAAATTACAGTACCACACCCATCTCTATTCATTGGGCTTAATTAAGAGAATCTTGCATCAGAGACGTTGCTATGGTAGCTTTCAACTCTTGAACTCCTAATTAAAAATACCCAAGGATCAAGGGAACCTGAAAGGCTCTTCTGTGCTTTCTCTTCAGCCTTGAAAATGTTAATTGCTGATTTACTTCAATAACGTCTTTTGTACTTATCACCATTTCAGCATGATACTTTTTCCACCCTTTATCTTCACACTGATAAATAATTAAAATGGACTGTATGCTGCAAATCAGAGTGAAAGCAATCTAATATTGCTTTTAATAAGATGCACAAATTTAATACAGGGCCACAGTGAACATCAAAAAAGCATCCTATTCATGTATGTTTTCTGAAAAATAAAGTAAACGTGTTGATATTGATTCAATATTTTTGGTACTGAAATATCGCTCAATACCAATCGCTCAAGTGACAAATTCCCTATGCATTAAAATCACTTATCAATGAGTGCTGACTGGGGAAAGCTGAAGCAATCTGTTCAAGGAAAACCTGGTGGAAATTCAAGAAAACAAGCGAGCAAAAAATCCCCCTTTTCAAGAGCGCCTATGTGCCATGGGTAAGGTGGAGTCTTGACTATGTCAACATACTGGAAAGGGGTCAGAGCCAAACAGTGCAACAGGCCACGGCCTGGGGGATAATGAGACTCAGCACCTCACCAAGACCAACGAGAAGATTCATGTGTGAAGACCTGGGCAGGAGGGTCTAGTCACTAAATAGCCCTGCTTTTAGTGATTAAGTGAACCTCAGAGCTTGGTGCCATATTGATCAGGGTTCGGGAACTCACTTGCTGCCCAACTTCCTCCCATCTTGACAGCAACTCATGTCCTAAAGCTGGTCATGTAAAAAAGTTTTTTTTTGCAAAAGGAGAATGACAGGTGTGCTCTGAATGCCTTATGCACCAGATGTGAGCTCCATTCAACATTTGTAGGATGAGCTGAGATAATGTTGCATCTAGGGCAGATAGAGCAATGAACAGACATACTTGTCCAGGTTCTATCAAACTCCAAACACCATCAGCATTCTGGTGCAAACCATGCATCACACATTTACAGTTTATAGTGCTTCCAACAGTGGCCACAAAGGCTATAAGTCTCTGAATTTCAGAGTTACGCCCATTTATCAACCCTATTTATGACCAATGTCCAACAGCAGCAAACACTGGAATTTTCACAATAACCTTGTGAGTTTGATACCACTACAAGCGATATGTTTCATTTACATCCTAAACATTAAAATTGTTCAAGCTGAACCAAAATTAATCAGCTTTGAAAACAATGTAAGTCAAAATGTTGAGTAAGCCTCAATGAGCCCTTCAATATATTGCACATCCAATCGCTCACATTTTGTACACTTCAACACAGAACTTTTCTGTTTGCATTAACCTTAAATAACTCCAATAATTCAGGTTCTGAAACTGTTGACCTACAATAGAGTTAAAGCCGTAAATAAAAAAGCAGGACAAGTTGTAATATCTAAATGCAAAGCACAGTGTAGTTTAAGCTACTTACACGACATGTTCAGGTTCAAGCAGTAATTGCATTTTTAGAATATTTTATAAATCTCTACAATTTACCTCTGTGCTCCCTGAGTCAATGGCTCTGTCCACATTGACCAGCAAATGGCCCTGCTCCTGACACACGCCTCCTGACCACAGAGCACAGCACTGATGAGCCCAGCATTGTCCTAGAAACAGAACAGGAAAGGGAATTACTTGAATTACTTTAAGCAAGCTGCAGAGAACTGCCTTTCAGATGCCAGTCTTCAGAACCTAACAATGTATACAATTTGACGGTAACATGCGACTAAGACTAGGTGAATTACTGTACATGCTAGATACCTTTCCTGAGATAGAAATTATTCTTTTTAAAACACACACATTCTAGAGTAGCAAACTTTAGCTGTTTCCAAAATGCATAACAAAATAAGACTGCAAATGAGATTGACAAACCTATGGCTCCCCTGATAGCTAAGAAACAAAACTACAGTTTGGAAATACCCTTAACGGAGTTAGGACACTCGCAAGAGAAGCTCCTTGCACTAAGCACCGTCTTCCCTTAAGAAAATAACATGCGGTAGCTGGGAAGTTTTGCACAAATTGTCCCTGCTTTTTGCAGCTGTGTACCGCACAAAGGAATGAATGGAAAAATATAAAAAACTTAGAAACACTACTCAAATGGAACTTATTAACAAAAGGGGAAGAAAACATTAAAAAAACATTAACCACACTTTGTGGAAAAAAAAACAGTCTTTCCTTCTCATGGTTTAAAAATGACTCAAGAAACGTTTTATGAAACACAGCGAAGATTTCTTTCTAAGCAAAGAACACCTGAAATTGCTCAGCAGTTTACAACAGACATATCGATGGGGCATTCCACGAGAGTCGAAATGTCAAATGTGTATGCCCGGCTTCGAGTGCTTTCAGCAAAAATGGACCGTTTTTGTGTCTGCTTAACAGGGCTCATTAGACGGAGTATGAATCGAGCCACTTCCAGGGCCATGCTTTTAAGAGGGACAACTTGTGCAGCAGTGCACTCCGAGCCTGGACATGCTTGAATTGCGAGGTGATAAATGCCTGTGCCCGTCTTACCTGAAGTATCAAATAAAGACTCGACATCGATGTCGTCAGGAAGGCCAACCTGGCTGAGCTCCTCCCAGTACTTGCTGGCTTGCTCCTCACAGGGAGCCTCAGTACTCCCAGAGCCCGAGGACAATGCACTGCTACTGGAAGAGTGGTCTCTGGAAAGGCAGAAAAGGGAGAGGGGGGGGGAGAGAAGAGTTTTATTTGGCTGCTGCACAGTAGCACAGACAAGGGCTAGCTGTTCAGTATCTCAACCTCAACCGGAAAAAAAGAAGACCCAGAATTACAGGCTTTTGGATAAGCCACTAAGAATCCGTCAACGAGCAGCAGCAAAGCAGAAAATAAAAATTTACATTTAAAAAGGCCCTTGTTTAGTTACCCGGCCAATACCAAGAACAAAGTGATGAAAGCCTATAGTATACCCCCTCAGTCCTGCAATGACATCTGCATACATCTGAAAAAAAAAAAGTAGTACATTTCCATAACCATTTGAGTGGATGTCCGCTCCAAGAGATGTTCTGGCTCAAATCCCTTTGTGATTTAAAGGCTAAGTGAACACTGGTCTATATGCCAACATTCCTCTAGGAGCAGAAGAGCTCTTATAGAAGTACTTGAAATTTTAGGCATCTAACATCCGCACCCCACACCCACCACACCAAATTCCCATCACAGAAGGAGTCAGGTATACAGAAAACTGTACAGTGACACATTTGCTATTCTACTGCTTACAAACGTGAAAATAACTGCAAGGCAAATGTAAGAAAATAATTCTCAAACTATCTCAAGCATGCACACTATTGATCTTGGCAATTATATATGATTTCAATTTTCTGTTACTTTTTGATGCCCGGCTACGTTTGTGACAGCATTTGCCAGGAAAAGCTACAAACGAATCACATTGTATTCTATTCACACTATTCAAGAAAACTGAAAATTGTAGATTAAAAAGCTCACAAAATGAAAACTGTCGAGATTTCTAATGTTTTTCTACATGATTCAGAAAAGAGCGGTTCGATATTAAAATCGGCAACAGTTACACAATACAGTTTTGTACAGTAAAATACTGTTTTTACTGTATTTTGTGTAATACACAATACTGAGTTGTCTCAAGGTGAGGAAATCTCTAACTAAGGACCTAAAAAATAAAGCCTTTGCAAAACCGGCCCTCTATGCCGCCCATACGAATAAGTAAATTAAAGAAAAAAATTGAATGACAAAGGCACAAAAAGATATAAAACACGTCCGGGGCAACAAAACTCAAAATTAAAACCTATTAATCTGGAGATCAAAGGTATGCATATGTGCAATTTTAAAAACATGATTCACAAAAGATCAACTGGCCCATCTATCTGAATTGAAAAAAAGTCTGGGGCTCCGACTTATGCTTTCTAGAAGATGCTCATCTCATCAGTACTGCCTGAAAGTTTGAAAGCAAGATCACATCCGCTCGTGTCACATTCTCTCCTACCATCACCCAGCGCATATCCGTTCTGTCTGGAAATAGCAGTTTCTCATGTATATTATGGTGACCTACCAGCTGTGAAGATCTATAAAAGCCCCTCTGTACGAAACCTCCCCATCCATCCCATGTTGACTGAACTGTAGAATCCCACTATTTTTTGCCATCTTATTATAATATCTAGTGTTCTACCTAATATCAGGTTTAGATACTAAGGTAGGCGTCGTGTTTCAAGATAACAGTGTAGCTTATCACAGGACCATTGTTTGCAAGAAGTTCCCCTGCATACAACACTGTTGGGCCCTGGGGTATTACTGGACCTGCTCCATCTTGAGCCCAGTCCTTGATAAGCTTAGTCATGTTTTCCATTTCTGTGGTTCCCAAGAAGCTCCAGAGCTGCCATTATTACAATTGGGCTTCCCCCCGTCACAAATGCTGCATCAACACATTAACTTTAGCCATCAACACATAAACCGCTTTGCTGCACGCAAAATAGGTCACAGTTCAGGAATAACAAAAATAAATCTAGTCTCAAATTTTAACATGACAATGATGAGATCATCCAACCCCTTCTTAGGGCACCTCCACAGCAGGGAGAAACTCAGTACCTCATAAGACACAAAAACCTCCCCTACAGTATCTCACTCTTACTATTACATTTCAAGACAGGCATTCTCTTCTTGTACCTACTCTGACAAACCAAGTTCAAAACTGCAAGACTGAAATGTCTGGCATTTCTTTATTCCAACTACCACCAATATACCTGATGGCTTTTCCCCAGTCTACATGAGGAAAATTAAGATCTCCCACAATAACCACTTCTTCCTTTATACAAACATCCCTGATTTCATTAGAGCATCCATTAAAATGTATCTGAATGTGGTGGCCCATAGCATTCTCTCTAATTCTTCACCTGATGAGTCATTACTGAATCATAAGAAATGAGACACTGGATTTATCTAGGTTAAGTTCTGTCACTGCATGTTCTTACTGGGTTTCACTGCCAAACATATAAACCTAAGTTTCACAATACACTGTTAAGAGTTATTTATTGGCATTTCTGCCAAGATCTACAGTATATGTGCCATGCTACTGGACTCAAAGCAGACTGCTTGATAGATGGCAGGGGAAGCGCCCTACTAAAGACGTCTGCTGAAGTATCATTCTGTAGCGCTGATGCCCCAACCCAGCTCACTTCCTCTGGCTACGCTTTGAGAAGCCTGTTTGAAAGCAGAAAACCGCTACCAGTTAAGAAACGTAATCAAAAGTGGAACAAGTTAGAAGAGTGCATATGGAAATTCAGACCGCTGCCCGATACTGTTATGTCCTGTTTCCAGACAACCGTTGTGTCCTTAAAAATGTCATCCCATCTATTGTGAAAGGAATCTACGGTATTACAAACACCGACAAAAACTCTTTTACAGCCCACAAATCCAATTTGCATGCTCTCCGTTTCTATTTTTAATTAGGACTGAGCCACCAACATTTCATTAGGCAGGTGATTAAACTGTGTCAAGGTGAGCTGTTGTAACACTGCGTTAGTGATGTAGCATTACCTGATACTAGTTTGGCAATGCATATTACCATTTAAAAAAATGTAGAATTTCATCTCTCTATAAAGATATGAATGTTGTCATGTTTTCACTGCAGTCCACTTTATACACTTTGTGGATTATTGAAGCTGGCCTCATTACCAGAGGGTTTCCTTAACATGTGCTACCTTAAATGTTGTTCAATCACCCTCTCCTTTGTTGTTGTTTTCATTCCTAGCTCTTCTTTCTATTATTGGAAAGGCTCCAGCTCCACTGACCAATCAGAAAACTCCAACACAACAATGCTTCACTGTCTGGATGCCTTCCAAGACTGAACTTGGTGCACATTACATCACCAAACCCAAGGGAAGAGCCTGATTGGCTTCAAAGAACCAAACAAAATTAGGCACTTCTCCAATAAGCCTAGGGAGTGTCTTTTAATCAGGACTGTTACAACAATGGTCACGTGTTATTAGCGTGACAGTCAAAGCTAATAGATTAAGAGAAAGCCAGCAAATGGAATACTAATTTATGGATTATTTATCAAGTGACTAATCAGGCCATTTTGGCTCCAAAATAATTGACCTGAATCGAATTCTAGAGCTTAGTTCATTAGCATTTTGTTGCCTATTTGGGTCATACCACAACATCTTCCCTACAATGCAAAGTAGAAAGACAAGTTGTTAATCCGCCGAACTCAGAAAAAATGTCTGTGCTCATGAGGTATTAGTTAAATATGTCCTTAAAGTTTATTGAAAGGAAGCGTTAAATTCTGTGAAACACTTCAGTGGTAACAGCTAAACCTTGGAAAACTATTTCAGTATTGGTCGTTAGCATTTGGCATCTAAATGTTTTATGAAATGCACAATTTTTCATGCAACCACCCTTCTGATTAACACTGTTCTTTGAAACTTTATCTTCAGTAAAATGTCACCTCAATATAAATCACAGGCTGACAAATTCAGTTTTCAGAGACTAGGAGTTCGTTAAACAACAGGTTTTCCATACAAATAAAAGATATTCAAAATCAGCTGGAAGATTCCCAGTTTGACAGAGGATTCCCCTATTTTATGACAGCCTAATTAGGAACACGCACCCTGATTCTCAGGAGGAAAAAAGCACAGTTTACAGATCGCAAGTATCAAGCACTTCCTGTAACTCCTAATGTAACCAAATCAATGCCATTTAAAGACTACACATTCAGCCTATTAACTTCAGCAACAATTAGACATCTTTTGCACTCTCATAAGAAGGCAGGAGAAAAGAGAGAAAATCAACTATCCATCCACTCAATATCCGAAAGTCGCTTTCTTTGGATAAGGGTCACACCAAACCAAAGCCCATCCTAGAAGACTATTGTGCTTGGCAAGATGGTTTTGCAATCTGAGCCTATTTCTACCCGAACGGGTTGTGGTGACCATAAGAAAGAGCTTACTTCTTCTGCCCTCTCTGCCTCCGTCCAGTTGTACTGTGTTTGGGGCTTCTGTCGCCATCTCCATCGATGTCGGTGCTTTCCCTCTTTTTTCGGACGTGCTGCAGGATGTAGCCAGGCGTGGGGACGAACAGTTTCAGCTCACCCTGCCCCAGAAGGCTCCGTTCTCCACAGTAGCAGAAGGCACACAGCTGTTCACTACACATAAAAAAAAAGTTCTTGATGAGGCATCTCTGTGCTTCAACAATCAAAACGGATTAAAAGAAAGTATGAGTTCCCAAAACACCAGATCTTCTTTTAACCCTATCAGATCGTCACTTGCAAAGCCCAATGAGAATGTTGCTGGTTACTGCAGAAAATAACCAATTTATAGACTCTAAGAATTATTTCCTTTTGGAAATGCACAAATTGCACGCTAATTTACTGTTCTTGTAGGGTCCAAAGATCACATCATTTTCTCTAAAAAAAAGGCAATTTTCATTGGTTAACAATGCCAATAAAAAGTGCTATACTCTTAAGTATCATTTCCTAAACTATATACTTTATAACAATAAGTCAATTGCATATGATTTATACTAGTAGGTATAGGCATTCATCTCTTTCTTTTCCTTCTTTCTGACAATGAAAAAGATAAGGCTCTCACAGCACAGCAGGTAAGTCCCATGACAGGTTTTACAGGTCACAAGATACTCATATAAGCAAACAATGTGATAAGCATATCAAGTTTGTTGTATTTTGAATATATTTGCATGGGCAGAAACAAAAACAAAGGTTAATATATTGTACTTTTTTATCAGTTCAATTTGTTGTGAAAGCCCATCTTGCGTCAAGTCTAAAACCAAGTCTTGCTTTTCCTACTGCTATGCAAGGGAAATCTGAGCAGTTACACATTTACATGGAGATAGTCTTTGCAATATCTTTGTGAATCCTAGCCGGCTGGCTTACATCTAGAGCCCCTGTTGATGACTGCAGATGATAATCGGCATCAGTCATACCTGATATATTTTTACTGTCCCAATAAATAGTAATAACTACATTTGTTGAATGAATTAAATTCCACATTCCAGACCGACCACTGCCAATGTGAACTGTACTGTAGTTACAGTTACTCAGTGATATATTTAAAGGCTTAGTAAACTAACCATGCTATGTCAGTGCTGAATAATTAACTCTTGCATCTTGCATTATCAATTATATACACAAAGTTTATACTGTGACACTCGCCAGACATTTTGATGATAGATTTATCACTGCGGTATTATTTGTCTTTGGCAACTAAACAGTGAATGCGAAATATTTTAAAATACCACAAGCCAAGGATGACCCATCTTAATCAAGCACAACGAATTCTAGCAAGAGCTCAGCCAATTCTGCACAGCTGCTTGGGGAATCCTTATCAGCTGAAGTCCGTCTACATGTAAGGGCTTCAAGCCTGGACTAAGTGCACTCGGCGAACACTTTTACTGGTTCTATGCACGAAAGTGCAAGACATTTTTCTTTTAAAAAATAAGCTAAAAGGGAAAATTTCTCTCAACAAAGATTGACACTTCACCTTGCAGCCAATGATTAATGAGATGACATGGATAGATTTTCCCTAAAAAGATGCCCAATGAAAATTTACAGTTATGCCAAACAAGTCCTCACTGCAAGCTAGTGTGTGTCGGTATACATAGACAAAGCTCATATACATGACACCCGAAGTTTATAATGTTAAACACGTCAGAATAACACATTAAATTAATTCTGCGTGTGCCCGCTGCAAACAGTAAGCCATCCTTCCTAACAGCTCCTTTACATGTTGACAGCTTTTCCTCTTCCTTTATCGATTGTCCTTTGACATGACCAGTTCGCCATTAGGTCTCCAATGACTTCATATCTAAAGTCAAATGAGTTTCCAGTATTCCAGTTATGCGAATTTAAATTTTAAATAAAGGCTTTAAAAGTGTAAATGATACTACCCAGACAGATCACAAATGTGTGTTTAAATGAAATATATTTATGAAAACATTTAAGTTGTGCAGGTGCAATTCTATTACCTCCAACATGGATGACAAGTTGCACAATTTACAAAAGTACATTGACCTTACAAATGACTTATTTGTTCAGCAGATGCTCCAATCCAATGTTACGATATGAAATTAGCTAGTAACACACTATACATCAAAATTTCAATGGCATGTATATAAACAAGTCATCAAAAGGAAAAATAAAACATGTTTAAATAGGCAATTCAATCACCACGCTGTAAAAAAACAGCAACTATAAACTCACCTTGCAAACTCTGCCACCACCTAAAACAGTTTCAAAATAATTTGACATGTAAAAACCTATTTCACGATTAACTTAACCAGAAATATTTCCTACCAATTCCCAGCATGAATGAGTGATTAATAAGGATGAGAGTCAAAGTTGAGGAATTCTTATTACCCTGAACAAACTTACATGGGTTGAGATGGGGGGGGAGATATTTGTGGATGGAAAAACTTCACATAAAAGTATGAAGTGCATATATGTTTAGAAACATTAATCGAATCTTAACAATAATTATTAGTCCACACATCCACCCATTTTCTAACCCCTTCATCCAATTTGGGGGCGCAGGGGAGCCAGAGCCAGAGCCCGCCCTGGCATGGAACGGGCACAAGACAGGGTACGTCCCGGAGTGGCGCCCTGCCCGTCCCAGGGCAGACGGACCGACACGCACACTCACACTGGGCCCACTGCACGTCTTCGGTCTGTGGCAGGGACCCGATAACACCCGAGGTCTGGAACTGACACCAGGGCCCCAGAGCTGCGAGGCAGCAGTGCGAACCACTGCGCCACTGTGCCACCCTGCATTTTTCATTAACATCCACCAAAAATAATCACTCCCCCAGGGCATTAGCACACGGCCTGTATGTACCTACTGTTCACCGACAGTGCTGTCTTAACGAGGGACTGAACACAACCTGCAACAATGTGGGGGGGATTCCCCACTGCATATACGCCCCACCCCCCCCATCCTTTCAACAGCACACACAGGGGAACTTATTAAACAGGTCAGAGAAAAGTTTGTGAAGAAACCATTCGTTACGCAACATGTTGGCGCATTAATCATCCAGTTCAGAGTCTATTAATTTGACAGCACAAATTGAAACCATCAAAAGACTTGTTGGAATCGCAGAACTAGACTTTCGTGGCAGATGGGAGATGCGGTTATCTGATATGATCCTCAAGGGTTACCTGTTTACACACGCCATGCGACAGTTTCTCATGGAACCTTCTTATTTATCAAAGACCCACCCCTTCAGTCTTGGGCTGAGTGCCCCTGTTGCTATAAATGAAAGTCTTGAAAATTCAGTCCTGGCACAGTGCAGCCACGCTCTTTTATATTTATTGTTTAATACTCGGGTCACTATGAAGTGACGGTTTCTATTTTATAGAAGTACCAAGTGCATTTTTACAATGGTATGCAAACATAATCCAATATGTTTCTGTTTTTGGAGAACAGTTTTAAGGCAACAAAGGGCTGTACCACAAATCATTCCGTAACGTAATGACCATGGACCATGGCAAAGGGGTACAAGCCTCATCGCATCTCAAAGCATTTAAGTGCTGTTTGCATTAAACTGCACTTACACCTGGAATTAAAATGCATTTCAATTTCAAAGAACCCCACATAATTTAAGGCTTAACCATTCCAACAGATTATATTCAGGAAATATGGCATCTAAAAACTACACTGAATTATTCAGCCAATGCAAAATATCTCCATGCCTGACGGATGGAAGACTGGAGTCGGTATGGACTGATTGCATATTAATACAACAATTAGTACAACAATTTAAGGCGGGGAAAAAGGTCTGTGCTACTTGAACTACCAAACCATCATGCTTAAAGAAACAAGAGTTCCATTTCCCTACACCTGTTGCTCACAGTAGGGTACAATACTGCTGTTGCGATCTGCGCTAATTGGGTGCAATGCCTAGGAAAACCTTTTTCCTCCTCCCGTCTCCTAAACCCCCGCCTCCTCCCTCCTCCTCCACTAATTACGGCACCAGCCCTCCAGTCTGCAAGCTGCCAGGATACTGCGAGGCTTGGCAGGCTTCATTTATCCTGCAGCTTTCCTTTACCCAGCATTCCCTACTCAATTATTCCTGCTGCTGCCCATCCCCCCCACGATTACTCACTCTCTCACACACACACACACGCGAACACAGGCGCGCGCGCACACACAGCCTCCTACGTCTGTGACTCAGCAGAAGTCGAGCGCGGCTCTCTAACCTGCTTTTGGCTTCATCGGCAGCTAAGGCAGAAGATCCTGCAGACTCCTCCGACGCGGAGCGCTGGAGAACGGGGGAAGGTGGCTTTTCCTCTCCCGTGCTTTCTGCAGACTGGACGCCGTCACTTTCTGCTGGCGGCTCTTTTGCTTCTGTTGAGGGAGGACGGAAAACAGCAGGTCAAAACCAAAAGGGTCTATTAAAACATTTCGATTGAACTAGCGTAGAGGGCTAAGGAAAAATAATTTTGATAGCCAAAATCAAAAGGTTCTTTTCCGGTTCACTCTACGCTAAAATGTTAAATGTTCTTAACATGTTAGTCATGCTTTACACACACACACTTCATACATAGTGAACATACATGACTTTTACATGGTCATTTTTGTCCAAGGAAGCTAATTTAAAGCGATTATGCAATGGCTTAAACTCCTGGTGAATGTATCCAGAAACCAATCTTTAGAAAAGTAGCTTTAATACAGAGCACAGAAAGACTTTCTTTTAAAACCATTTCCTTGAGAATAAACACATGGACAAACGTGACAGAATTTCTCAAATGTCTTGTAGAGCTTGAATAACTTTTTAACCCCCAAAGTCCTGAAAATCACTTCGTTTCAAAGCAAACATATGCATAGGCCTTTAGTACACAGTATTCTGTTTTCTGCTATTATTGACAGGCAGCATGAGCTGTGATGACTGCAACAAAAATGCCTTCAGTCCCCTGGTGCAATTTCTCTACTATAATGCTTAACTTGGTGCCCCTATCAAAAGGAAAGTTAAGAGTTTATCTTGTTTCACAAGACACAGATGTGCATTTTATTAGCAGTTCTGGATGACAAAATCATGCATTGCTTTGCTTGTACAAACTTAAACACAAAGGCAACAAAACGAGTAAGAATATCATTAAGAATAACACCGAATCTCTGAGTGGCTGAAAATTAGCCTACAGAGGGGTCTTATATTTCTAGCTACCACCACAACCACAGCACATACCGGAACCCGATCTGCAAGGTTTCCTGAGTTTTGTCCATACACACAGGAAGTTAAGCGACAGTTGATAGTGTCAGTAAGAGCAGCTGAATAATCCCCAATGCTTATGAGCTTAAAACTTGCCATTACCAACTCGACTACTAATAAGATAGGGTGTAATCATTCTTCCAAGGCAATTATTAAAGTAAGTAAATGTACAGCGTCTTACTTAAGTCCTGACCCGCTTACAATAATATCCCATTTTGTTAAGTTACCTGGATCTGACTAAGGATCTAACAGAAGGGGTATATTCGGAAGAAATGTGAACCACATTATTTCACAAAGACCAGTCAACTAATTGTGTGACTTGTCAAAGTAATGTTGTGCACCTGACGTTATTTAGACTTCTCGCAGCAAAGGGTGAATACTTATGCTATCATATTTTTGGATATTTCTCCACGGTTTTTGCTCAAAGTTCATTTTCCACCCATAACAGCAGTCAATTTTAGCATTCAAAAAAATCACTAGAAAAGGCGTATACATTTGTATTTCAAAAATACTGGCCAATAGTAGGAGGGGGTGAATACTTTTGCAAGGCACTCTGCTTTCATCTTAAGCGCAGTAAAATGAAGTGCCATGAAGAACCATGAGAACAAGGTGCGCTACTGATGAATGAAATGTACTGTAGCTTTGCTAGAAAGGGAATGGGATCTCCCTTCCACCATTATCCACGTATAACCCCACCTGGAGGATGCAACAGCAGCCACTGTGCGCCGGCACGCTCATAACACATCAGCTATCAGGGGGAGGAAAACGGTAATGAACCCAATTCATAGCTAGGTATTATTACGAGATCATGAATGGTACAGGCCAGGGAGAAATCTGGCCAGGACACTATCGTCAACACTTCTACTGCTTTCGGGGAACACCCTTGGATTTTTAATGAGGTCTCCCATCCAGGTACTGGCCAGGCTCACACCTGCTCAGCTTCAATGGATTGGCACTTACAAGCTGCAGGATGAGACAGCTGCTGTATAAAACCAATGACTGCGAGCCTTGCATTTTTGGGAATTACTTCTTACCCAAATTTCATCAAGATGGAAGGATTGACACTGGGCTTATACTAATGTACTGTTTGTGATGCTAAGCATTTTGTAGTATACCACGGAAGGTACATATCATTTCTGGGAAAAAAAGTGAAGTGTTCCCAGGTTCATAGAAATTAAAATATTTTTGATGTTTTGTCTCCTCCATCACGATCACAACAAAATCCAGAAACTAAAATAGAAACAGCATAATTAAAGGTCATTAAAAATAATTATTCAAGACTGGCGTAACAGATTACCATCCCAAAAGATTCTTTTTTTTACCACAGTTTTTTTAAACAAATAACCGAGCCACATCTGAGCACTGCTGTTTGAACCTGCGTTCAGAAATGGCTGAAGATGGGTGTTGCTTTCAATAAATCATGGCGATGCGTTGAAAGGCCTAAAGTTGGGATCAAAAAAGCCTTCTCCGGGCACCCACAAAAGAAGCCGTAAGAAAGATGTCTCGCAATAAAATAAAACAAGTCAAACCATCTCAAAATACGCGACGTGTCATGTAAAAAAGTGTTATAAGAACACAGTCGGTACAAATTAGTATGACGTGACCTTTACATTGACCTTTATAAGATGTATTCTTCACTCTCGCTATGAACTGCCCACACAGCACTTCAGAGACATGTAAAAGGCATAACATTGTTTTTAGCCATTTTAAAGGACCTTTCCACCAAGGGAAGATGTCAGTACTGCATAATGGATGTCTTTTCTATTCCACTAACAGCAAAAGCATAAAAACAAGAGTTTAACGGTTTACTGCAAACTACACAGAAAAAAAAAGGCAGAGACAAGTTACAGAGAAGGATCAGGTTTGAAAACAATTTGAGTATTTCTAAAACTGAAGAGAACTTTCCGAGACAAGGACGCTCTTCTCTGGATTAAGAAAATGCAACAGCAATTGTTAGAAGTCTTTGAGTGAGATATTTCATTTGATTTTTCTGGGTTTTTAGGCTGTTAAGTAATAAAAAGCAACCAATTATAACAGAAAGCTAACAAAAATGAAAGGACTGCATTGGCATCGCTGGTGCCCATTGATCACATTTAGCAGCCCTCCTTTAGTTTTGGTAGATGAGCATTTAAAATTATATGCTTTATACTTTATATCCTGCATGTATATGTTAACCTTTGGCAATTGCAAACATGTACAATTCAGCCTCCACACCAATTTTGATTGATGCTAAAATTAACTGGAGTTGAGTGCTCTGCAGAAACATGGTGCTTGTTTCACAGAAGAATTATCATTAGAATCATGCAATTAACCGCCTGGATAGTAATACAGTATTCCTAGACTGACCCTCAGTGGATGACAATTGTCCTAGAAGGTACTGTTTGCATACTTATGGTTTGTGTCCATGGGTATACTGTGGACCAATTAGAGACTTAAAGACAAAATGCTAATATAAGAATTTAGGCTTCACTCCAGATCTGGAAGAAAAACAAATACCCACAGGCAAGATTCTTTGAAGACTACCGCTGCGTGACAAGTTACTGCAATCGTTGAAGGCAAATCATACTGAATTTTCAAATCTTAACCACGACGCATCTTATGCAGTCTTCTCCACGTTTCTGAGCAATCTGGGATTTCACCTCTTCAGATTTTGTCTGCATCAAGCCATAGCTTATATAGCTTGTATGTATACATACAGAGAGAAAGCAAATGAATTTAGTTAATGGTAAAACCCTGTACCATACTTTCATTTCTAGAGTACCATGCCTAATCAGTAGAGCTCCAATGTCAAGTCCTATTCCGCAAATTGCTGCATTACTCCCTCACTTCTGTGAATGCTTTAGTTTTACTGTCAAGCCAGCGTAATTTTAGGGCCCCGGGGGGGTGCTTCCTGCCGAAAGCAGCAGAAGGGTTTTATTTTTCACAGGGCAAGATACCAGACCTGGAGATCGTGGGCGGGATTTCAGATTCTCCACAGTGTGCCATGTCACTGGTCAAATCACTCACTACATTATGGCTCATTACTCCATAAAAACTCCACCCTTTGTTTAGAGTCACTGACCCAGAAATGGCTGTTTACCGAGTTTAGCCTCTCATTACAGAGCACGGGACTTTTTTTTTCTCTCCTGGGGCTTTGGTTCAAAATATATAGATTGACTCCCTCCATAGTTTGCAATAGAGGTGGAGCTAAGAACGAGATCTATGTGTGCAGTTATCAAACTATGATTATACTCGGACAATCTCCCCTGGTGTTTGAACGGTTTTAACAATGTGCCGCAACGCGATGTAAAAAAAAAATAGTTTGTTAAAACAAAGAAAAAGGAAATAGGGAATTGGGGGGTGGTAGGTAGATTCTCCCTCAGACCAAGGCACGATCTGGTAAGTGTTCCGTTTTTTAGAGCACTGGTCTTCATTAAAATTCACTTCTTTTATACCATATTCCTGAGAAATAAAGGCAACGAATCACCCCCCAGCCCTCCCATCCCACCAAACAATTGATAGCACAGAATTAATCTCTTCAAGCTGCTTTTGTAAAAGCTGTCACTTGTTGTGACCACAGAATCATTCATCAGTTACTAAAAGCTATCATTAAGGGACAGCGAGTGGGTTATGTCACACAGCACTGATGGAGTTTTAAGGAATAAGTGGAGCAGCTCTGTGCTTTTTGTTCTAAGATGCTAATCGGGCTGCAGTGAGAGTATCTCCTTGCCCACTATTAACAGAAGGTTAGGTCCCAGAGAAATGAGGAAAACTAATTCCAGGATTACTGGGCAAGTTGTAAATGGGAGGAGTATATAAAATGCTCAAATGTTACAATTTTTGTTTTACAGGCTGCACGTGGGTGAAAATTTCAATTCAGGTAAAGCACATCTTAATTTTCGAACTCCAATAACTTGATGCTTCAAGTTTTTTTATTTTATAAAGTAAATCAGCAATGCACATGGAAGGAAACATCACAGCTTGTCTCAAGTACAATATATTTAGTTGATTCCTATTTTCCTTATGCTCAACCAGACGAAGTACGAAAGTATTTTTTCACGACAGTAACTTGTCCAAATACCGTGCTTACATGCGCATCACTTGATGATAGTACTTTTATTTTCATATTTTTGTCTCAGAAATATAACAAGTAATTTATATTCACAAAATGCCTGTCATAGGAAAAAGACATGTATGAAAATGAGATTTGATAAAATACCACAAAATTGCACAAGTAACCAAATCTTTTAAGATCCGAGAAAGGCCAGATGAACAGATTTATCCTGCTGAGCTTTTACAACGCAACTGAAGTCATCTTGGGTGTGACTGTCGTTTCCTGAATCAAGAAAGACAAGCTTCCCAATGAGAAGCCTGATGTTTTTCACCTCAACAAACTGAAATCTCTGAGAGACTTTAGACTTAGTTTTATTTCCCACAACTGTGAAGAAATGTACTCGTAAGCAGAACCATAAGTGCACCTGCATGCACACACTGGCATATCAGTTCTGAAGTCTTTGCTCAAACACGCAAGCAAAGCACCTGCCACCATGTCACATGAACCAACAGTGATGCAAGGGGGAGGTAGAAAAGCAAAGCAAAATGTAGGAGTTTAAAAAGCTTCTGATACAACATTAGTCATCTACAGTCTCCAACATCTCAGTAAGCATAATAGCTGTTTTATGGTAGATGTTAAAAAAACTGGCAATTACACATCTGAGAAGCAAACCACCATGGCAGTAAAGAGCTCAGCTACTCTTTGTAGGAAAAAAAAACAAATATGCAATTTGCTGACAATGATGAAATGCCGTGTTCTTTCTCCCCTGTGTGCAATTGCCCTTTAACAATTATCTTCCTCAAGGATTTGCCATTAATATAATTAGGTGCCGGGCCTTGCCGCATACGTTGCCATGTGAACCTAATCTATGGATTCTGGAGGAGTTCGTCGGCACAAGGTCCCAAATCCCAGAGAACAACAGGCACCGGTCACATATGAGCACACCCAACCCCATTGCATACTCTATCTTCCACATCATCCTCACTCAGAACAATGAAGAACGATAAGACTTGCCCGTCTCCACAAAGTTCTCCATTTCTGCTGTCTCAACGCCATCCATGCTGTCTTCATCATCGACAGATGCTTTCCCTCTACTGCGAGACCTGAAACCAACAAGAAGGACACATGACTTCCAGCTGCCATCAAGTTCTTCCTTCGGAGAAACACACAGCCTTACTTTACATCACAGCACAGAGGGCATGCTGGAATTGTATCCTGTGGATTGTGTGGTTAAGCTGGTTTCATTCGGTTGACAGACCAAAAATGCATTGCATCCTGTATCCACATGTCAACTGCACAACTGGATTCCTAACTAGACCCAAGATAGAGTCCATGTTAAAAGAGCTCAAGAGGTGGAAGAGGGGGAGAGAGAGAGAGCTTTAAAGCCAAGCCAAGTTATAGACCATTCAGCACCATTTATTGGCACTGCAGGCTACACACATCTGGAACCTAAGTTAGAGGCTGTGTATTCCCTTCACTTTGTCTTTGTCTGGTGGGCAGCATTCAGATCCTATTGTATCTTCAGAACAGATCAGAGCGCTGTCAGTTCACACACATTGGGCACAACTGCCCCCCCCAACAAACAACAAATAATGCACTGTTATTTCACAAGAAATTAAAATATTAAAAATCATTAAAAATGATGACCGCTTCTAAACGCAGGAATGTGAAACACTACTTTTTTGTAAGGTTTTGTTCACGTACAAATATACCACGCCACAGTTTCTATAAGTAGAGGCTTGAGTAAAAGAGGAAGCAACACATCAAATTAAACCAACTTAATAGCAATTTGATGAAAAAAAAGAGAAAGAGCTACTTTACTGCAAATATTCGAGCCAAACCTTTCAATGTCAGGTTTCAAAAGACTGGCCCATACAAAGAAAGAAAAAGTGCAATATTCTTACTGGAATGTTGCTTTTATTTTTGTTTTACAAACATCACACCTATACAATTATACACAGGGTGCTCGATTTGGACATTATAGTCACACAAGTGGATCAGCTGCACTGCAAAGCAAAAATGATGGCTTAAGTTCAAACGGGGATAATCCAATCAACAACAGCGCACAGCTCCGGGCATCACCTAGGTGGCCACCGGGCAGAGTCTAATGCTCCGGCCTCAGGGGCACACTGCCATTATCCATGGGAACGCGGCCACATGCTTCGATTTCCGCGTACAAAACCTACCGTTCCGTCCCGCGGTACGGTTCTTCGAACAGGCTCTCCCGTGGACAAGCAACCTTTCTCTTTTCAAGAGACCTAAAAACGGACGCCCCAAAGACACCGGTTCACCAACAGAGGGCGTCGGCGGGGAAACCGCCGCTAGAAAAAGAGGCGACACCACAGACTCGGGCACGCTGGAGCGGAAGAAAAGGGAACGCACAGGGGCTTTCACGCTTCGGCGGGCTCTCCTGAAAGAAAGCCTCAACTGAAAATGAAAATGTCAAGCCCCAGGAACCCCCCCCCAGCACTCATGCCAGTTCACTTCCTCCTAAAACAGTTTCCACAGGGGTAAAACAGTATATCCTCAAGAGCCTGGCGAGTACAATATGACACTCCTGAAGGACAGTTCACTAACTTATCACAATAAACATGATTCATTTGTCTTTTTAAAAAAAAGGCTATTTCAGTTGGCTGCGAGTATGCAAGGGATCGAAATTACATTACATTTATGGATACACAGATGCCTACATCCTGGTTTTCAGAACATCTGAACTGATAAATTTATCACAGATTTTATTTAAGCATGAGGCACCTTTCACAGGCCTACTTGAGCACTTACAGATGAAGCTGATGGGTACTAAAGTTTCAGGTGCCCGATTCCTAATTAATTCTACAGGAGCAAATGTGAAACTCAGCACTTTGAGACTTCAGATTCTTGCATGTCAATCTTATTTTGTTACATAACTAGACCTGTCATTTTTTCCAACTGCAGACCCAGAGCCTAACAGAGCGATCGAGATCTGTTCCAAACAAGGCCTGCAGACCCCCAAGGGTCACACCGGACCCGGGCCACACTCCACCCCCCAGTGACGCAGATCACCAGCATGGCTATTAACACAAATCTCTTGATTCCGCCGTTTCACTTTCATCAACATAACTAGGCTGATCCAAAACCGAGACTGGTTTTCACAAAAACTGTCTGCATAGTAAATTTGGACAAAATTCCTACAACTGAAAGGGAGACATCTGGTCAGTGAAGTAGAAACTCCGACCAAATTTATATACCTAATCTACAGTGGAACACAGGTCTCTCTCTCAATCTCAAGACTTTCAAGAAAATGTGGCCTTTTTGTGTCAAGAAGCGTCAACTCTGACTTACCAAAGCAGATTTAAGCTCTAGATTCTCTTCCAGAAACAAATGATAAGAGATGCAGGCAGACGTAAAAACTTTGGACCTCAGTTGGCGCAGCACAACGCCCGAAGGCCTAGAAGTCTTAAAGACTAGGTCTTAACACCAGACTCCCCGAACCTACCAACACATACAGCAGTGTAACGCGGAGGACAGTCAGAAGCTTGAGGCTGCGATAGCATCAGTACTGTCAAGTGCAGGTCTCGGTTCTATATAGGCCTCATTCTGCTTTGACTTGCCACCACTGGCACAAGCTCCACCTCTGACTCTAGTTCACATCTCCTGCTGGCGTTCTCCTCCACTCTTGTCCTTGGATGCCTCGTTCCTTTCTCAATCCATCTTCCGCTACACTCTTTCTGGCCTCTTTCAGTTTCTCCGAAGTGCTTTATCCTTCTTTGCAGTGCCTGCTTCCCTGCGCCCCCCCCCCCTCTCTGTCTCCTCCCCTGCTGTCAACTCTAGTGTCCCTTGCATAAACTGAAGGCAGCCAATAGGACACATGGAGCTGCCTGCAGCGAGCACTCAGCTGCTAGTTACCGTGGTAACAGAGTCTAGTTTCTTGTAACAGACATTACACTGCCAGCACTGCATTAGTAAAAGGCAAGCAAATAAGTGTTTGAAGAATTTTTAATACATATTTTATCTTCTTAAATAGAGCACTCCAGTACATGGCGCCTGCTTTGCTTACTACATCTTGAGGAAAGAATTAAAAGCAGAACAAAGCTTAGCAAAATAAATCACAGAAAAATAAGTAGAGCAAACATCCAGTTTCCACACCGATACATTTTTTCATTACGTTTTAAACCTTGTGCATCAGGTAACTTATTACAGGCTACATTCAACTCACTTAAGTCTTGCAGGTAAAAACCAGATTCTCTTAAATTTTTTGGAAGCAGACTTTTTAATGCTTCAAACCCCCGTCATCTCTCCATTGTGTCACTTGCAGACGTAGTTCCTTTTCCTCCCACCAGTTTTTAAAAGGATTTTGTGTTAATTTCACATCCATTAATTTCTATAATGCAGAAATGTGGTTTGATATACTTCTTCTTTAGACAAGCGCAAAGATTACCACGTTCAAGAAAATATTCCGTTGGGTTTTACAAAGTAGTTTTGAGGTTTTTTTTTTTTACTTTCATTACACTGTACGTGAAATATAGCAAGGCAAAACTGGGAGAAAGATGCATCATGGGCCATGGAGAAGATAAAAAAGGCAAAACTAATTACGTATGCACACCATGAATAATTCTTACAATCATGCAGCAAAAAAGGACAAAAATCTGATCTCAACTCCAGTCTTGACCATATTAGATGTCTGTAGCAGTGTTTCTGCACTTAAAACTTGACGTGTTTGATACAAACTTTTCCAACTGAGGATAGGATTCTGAATTCTTAAAAGTGAGCAGCACTACTACAAACTCTGAAGTTCATAAGCACCAACAGAAAAAAACATTTGCATGTATTCATTGGACAGTTAGTAGTTCACACACAGTGACAGCAATTGTTAACATTGTGTCTGTAGAGTCTGTTCCATTTAACAAGCATTATTCAGCTGCAATCTCTCTAAATCCCTGCAGGGGTCACTGACAAAACGATTCCCTCTCCACCAGCCTGAACACAGATGACTCATTAGATATTTAATCATTAAAGATTATCTGGCTTCAAAAACTGAATCATCAAAATCACATTTTAGGATGCCTGGCTCCTCCAAACCATTATACTGATTTTGAACTTTTGCCTTTTTGAAAAAAAAACTTAAGCTTCAGAAAGTCTGTCAGCACCAGATCCTATAATTAAAAGTTTTTTAAACAACTCATTTGCTTTGCAAAAATGTTTTGCGGTTAACATTTTCTTGTCGAGAAAAATAAAACTGACTGGAGACCGAAGATGTTTTTTTTTTTTTAAAAAGGACTGACACTCCTATGCAAGAACAGCAGCAGGAGCTGCTGATAAGACTGGTGATCAGTCTACACCAGTGGTTCTCAAACTTTTTGGACCAAGTACCACCCCAGATCAAACCAAAGCATCCAAGTACCACCTACAAGTCGTCTTCTCATAGAAACCAAAGAAATTCTCAATGACCAACATGAGCGCACATGTGCGCACACACACATTATAAATATTATAATAAACTTTATTTGATATAGCACCTTTAAAGGTGGCTTCTCAAAGCGTTTTACAGAAAAAAAACAGGAACAACAATTAAAAATAAACAATAAAAAAGCACAATTTGAGTGAGAGGGGTGAGCCTGTTTAGTCGAGTGAAGCAGATGTGAATTCATTTTTCAAGCCTTGATACAATTCAAAACAGAGTCTAGCAGACTTTAAATCGTCAGGCATTTTCTTGATGGCAAAGGTCTCACAGTGGATGTTGCAATGTGTCCATTAATTTCTGGAGCAACCTCTCTAATTCGTGCAACTACACCGCTGAGTCGGCTTGTCATCGTTATAGCACCGTCCATACAAACTCCGACGCGTTTTATCCAGTCGATGCCATTCTCTTCGATAAATTCATTCAGAAGCTGAAATATGCGCTCTCCTGTAGTTCCTGTTGGTAGTTGGGATATACAAATTTGAGGGTATCTAACGTAAAAAAGCAAATTGGCCAAATCAACTACAGACTCATCTAATTGCAGTGAAAAGCATCTGCTCATCTTAACGCACTCTATCAGCGTACTTTTGATATCATCCGCCATTTCAATAATTCTAGGAGCGACTGTGTCTTTCGGAGGGGGCAGCAGGTCGAGCTGTTTAGCAG